CCTGGGATGGGGATGGCCAAAGCAGCTTCTGTGGTTATCGTCCCGGTCAAACAAAGAATTTTCCAAATATGAGGTCCCCACATGCCCTGTATTGATAAAACACAAAAGATTTTGTTTACATTCTTTTATTTTTTTTTATGTTTTTACAAAAAAATGACTGAAAGTCTGTTTCTTAACTACTTCCTGACATTTTCTTTGTCTTGTATTTTGTTGTTGGAACTGTCATAACATTATTACCTCAATACTTTAATACAAATGTGTACAAAACATTTTTTGGGCAAAATAAAATAATATAACACTTGAAGAATGTCACTCAGTCTTTTTTTTTAAGTTATTTTTGGGGCTTTTTTGGGCCTTTAATGGACAGGAACAGTAGAGAGAAAGGAAATGGGGAGGGAGAGAGGGGGAATGACAGGTTTCCTGTCTCATGGTGCCTAGGAGTCTCATCACACGTCCTCTTCTCGCATGCATCTGTCACTGCTTCGCGCGCGAATCTGCGAAGCAGTCTGAAGACTTGCATGTGAGAAAGAGTTCTGACTCGAGACATCGAGACGACGCTATGCTAGCTTGTTACTCTCGGCATAGGACTCGTTCTCGTCTACATGAAAGAGCGGCTCTTCAACGATAACGATACAGATTGGACTCATGCTCAAGTTTCTAATCATATATTATTGATATGACTTGAAACTCGCACGTCAGAAGAGTTCTTAGCTATGACTGAATGATAAATAAAACGAGACTTCTAGGATACCTCATTTAGTAATAGTTCATATATAGAAACAATGAACGATCTATATGTATTCACTGATGCAAACGGACAGAGATTTGTCGCGACGCTCACGAGCTCTAGAGCGACATCACTCAACAATCTCCGTTTTAAACACCACATTACACACGCACAGTGTATCATAGCTCATATAAACATATGTGGTCACGAAGATAGAGGCTTTGTCATATATAATTTGCGATAGATAACATAGTGAACATGAGTGTCAGAATCAGGGATTCCTATATTTCTCACAAGATCTAAATTAATTGACCAGAATATAGTGTGCACTGAAGACATAGTGGCTATGATAAATCACTTCTTATTGCGTAACTGTGAATTGTGATGTAGTTGTTATTTTAATTCATTTCGATAGCTGTGACAGATTGTAATATAGTAAGATCACAGTGATTGAAAAAATAGTTTAGTGCTCTGTTTCTGAATTATCCAAACTTCCCACCTAGAAGTAGCTACTTGTATTGAGGTTTTGACTCTCTTAGATGAATTTATTGGAACCATCTCGTTGAATTTGTATTGCATTGAGGACATTGTTTGCATGAATGAAAATTTGAGTGAATCAAAGCAGATAAAAGTGAAATATTATAGGTGGATTGTTGTAATCACTTTCATTACAAGAGGAGCTCAGCTTTACATAAACTGACGCTGTGAGAATTCGGTATACATGATCTACATACTCATATACTCAGAGTATTTTTTATGCTAGCACTTACAGCTCTCTATCTCATTTCATTTATTCACGGGTTCAGTCGTTTTGATGCTTTGTGTACTCAAAATAGTACTGTTTGTCTCGCTTATAGTTCGACTCTCATGATATTACCTCAATAACAATGCTGTGTGAAAGAGTGCATGATTGAGCATACTTACTTTATATTTTATCAGACACAATATCAAATGCTTATCCATATACTGCTCTTAAATAAGTCATCGATTAATGATCATTGAACTTAGCTCATCATCGGCTCATAATATTAACATCTCTATTGTCGTGCGATAGACAAGTTTAAAGCTCTTAGAGTGTGTATTCAATATATACAGAATATTTCGACGTACTGATAATTGATATATGTGTGTTTTGTTTAAAACAAGATTGATGGAAAGGCGACAGTGTTCCACTTGTGTCTACAACTTCAAAAGTGCGAACGGACTCGAATGAACCCTTATATCAGGTTAACAATAGACTGTCAACCAACACTTTCCATCACAGAGCATCAACATCGTACTCGGACTGAATTGCATAGACTTCATAAGAAGCTAATTGTAACAGACTGCTCCTGATAATGTCGGAAGAAGAGTCGTTCATATCAGATCCCAGACATACAGGACGATGAGCTCTGAGCGTTCGAGTAGCAATCATTCACTTGTAGCAAGTATATTCTTCACGTTCTAAAGTTTTAGTCATGTAATCTACTATGTAATACCAATCTTATCTTTTAATTCATTATATTGCAGTTATCATCAGTTAAATTATATGTAAGTCTATGTAATCTATCTAAGTGCATCTATAAACTAATGAATCAAAAGATTAAACCTGCTGCAAGTATCTGGTTTTATCCTTCTAGTGCACAATATCAAATATACAACAAATACTCTAGAAAATACAAATAATTCAGTGACCAAATGTAAGTAATTCAGGAAACAGATGCATAGGTAGACTTTATGTAGTATAATTGTTGTCGAATTTGTGTTAAGTATACACTGGAGAAGGTCTATTGTTGTGTATCTATATTTTTAGTGTACACTGCTCAATTCGTCTATGATAGTACGTGTGAGTGTCTTTAAGTTGTCAGGTAAACAGACAGCACGCTTGTGTTCTTTGATGTCCTATATCACTTCTCTCTCAAACATATCACATACACAAGTGAACTCGTGTGAAGACAAAGAGTGATTTTTAATTGGGCTGACTCGAGGTGAACCATAGCTATGTATAGAACTCAGGCATACAGTGGTACACAAAAGAGAATTTATTCATGCTCGTGTAGCTAGTGAAATTGTAACGCATGTTCCGTTCAATAAGAGCAGGCTGTAGACTCGAACGTAGTGAGAATCAACACCTGCACACTGAAATACATAGTGGCTCCGCGTCGTTAAATCAGAGATCTTTAATGCGAGATCCTCTTGTAATATCCTTTATAGTGACAACAAATTTCACACAACAATCAGAAGTTCAGTTTGAGAGAGTGGAGTCTAGGGTAGCTGTGAACCTCTGTTGGATAATCCCTCGTGCGCAGGCAGTAGGAGAACACATAAATCAAGCTGCACTGATTTTCAAGGAGTAAAATTCATTATAGTATTTCACGTTTGAAAATAGGAGCAATATTCTACTTCTCCTTCATTAATACAGAAATACGGTATTTCAAGAAGTTGTGACACAAGGAGAAGTTTCATTGATAGCTGAATTCATTACATTAGTGTTAAACTTCTTGTGAGGTCCAAAACAGGATACAGGGTGTTCTGAATGGTGGGTCTAAATGAGGCAATTCAAATAAAGTCCTCCCTATCTTTACCTGTTTCATCGTTTGCATCTGTTCTTATTTATCACTACTTAAGAATTTAAACAAGAGCACCAGACTGGCCAGTTGTGATGGTAGAGGACTCATCTGTTTTTCTCTGTGAGAACGCGTTTATAATTGATACAACAATCTCTCACAAACAGCTAGTCGGAATTATAACTATGCCACTGTGAGCTCTAAACAGTTTTCTGTTCTATGACCATCAGGTAGTCAATAGATAAGTCATGTGAATAGGATATAAGTCTCCGAGTTAAACAGTAGACTAGAGCTTCTCTCTAGCATACTTCTTATTCTCAATTTAACTAGTGAAACACAGCTGCATCCTGTTATCATTCCTGTGTGTCTGTATACACATGGTGCTATAACAATAGCGGTGTTCTTCTGCGAAATCCACAGATCGTACGGTATTGACTCTCGTGATGATTGTGACTGGGACCAGTGTGATACTTGTTTCCATACTCGTAAGAATATGACTGTCAATAGGACAAGAGCTGTTTCCACCTCACAAAGCGTGGCTCTTACTGTGATGGATGTAGTTCAAGTGGCAGAGCAACACATATGACCATGCTGACGAGTAGAGAATTCCTTGTGTTTTTGCTAGTCAGGAATGTGATTATTTGAATAGGAAAAACCAATAAATGAATAAATAGGGAGTCTGAACAGGACAAGCTTGCTGCAGTCCCAGTCCGCAGTAGTTGGAAATGAATACCTTCTCCCCAGTACTCTCGCCTTGGCTCTTTTGGTTCCTCCAGGTTCTCCGTTCTCATTGGCTCCGTCTCCTAGGTCTCTTGTGCGAGTTCAGGCCCGATCCTCGGTAGCCATTTGCTGTGCGAGGATGAGATCCGAAGCAAAATCTGCGTCTGTTTTCAGCTGGTTCTATTAAGAAGAAACAAACTCAGTTCTATTTACACTCACATATACTGCACAAGCCATCAGAATGAATGACCGAGGCAGGACATTAATTAAATCGTGTTATCAATACCAATATTTATTCCTCATTTTCACCTCGCGATACAGACATGTAAATGAAATCTGCCCTAACTAGTAAACCTTCTTACTGCGAATCTTCTATTGGCGTTTACCATAGCGCTGTTGATGGCTTCTCTCCATTTACCTCTCAAGAGACTACCTCCATCAGAGTTGAGAGGACGGCTGCACATACTACATAGTACTCTCCAGGTCCGTTACGCTCACTCAAAGTCCAT